GCTGACAACAATCATTTTAATGCGTTTTAATGAACGACAGTGCAATTCGAGCCACGGGAATACTGAAAATGAAAGCCAAGCATCTGTTTTCTATTTATAGATTTAAAGTTAGAGAAGTTTCAGTTGAAAGGAATAACAAACACGAACACCTTCTCTATTTTTTTTGAAGAGAGGGGGGGTTTTCTTGCCAGCCCCCAAGAGAACATTTAACCCCCAACCAGCTGCTCCGGTGGAGCTGCTCAGACGCACGGTGAGTGGCACAGGGTGTTGCGGAGTCTTTCTCCCCAGAGAGTCAAAGTCAAAGGACACTTCTCCGTGACTTACACAACCTCTGACACAGTCTGTTTACCTGAGTGTAGAGGACAAGCCTTCTTCTCAGTTTGTTGTTAGGAAGTCACGGCTAATCTAATTTTGCCTTGCAGGAACAGCCCTTCTTTTTTCATTCTCGCTACACTGTGCGGTCCACACCCCTGGGTTGCGAAATGACTCACACATTCTGGACACTGCATCCTGTGTGGCTGGCACAATGAAGAAAATGCACTCTCCATCGGTGTTGAAAACATTATAAAGGGAATGCTTCACAAGATGTATCTCATTCATGTTACTGGCACTGTGGCTACAGTCTCCATATCAAACACCCACACGCACAAGACAAGTCCACAGACCCCCTACACAACCTGCACTGCAGTCGCTACCCCGCCCCTCCCTCTCTCCTTCTCCCGCCTCAACTCATTCACCTTTCTCTCAGTCTTGCCTGCGTCACTCACCGTGTCTCTGTTGCCATGGAAACTAACGATGCCCTCTCTGCTCTGGTGCTGATGCAGACGGGCTGTTGACGTCACCGCTGAGCGGTGGGCGGAATAATAATGTTTTGCACGACCGCAGGGTCTCAACTCGCTGATATACTGTACTGCAAGGATGCTGTATTTGTCTCTCGTACATCTCTCTGTTTATCCCACTCTGCTCTGTGAGGCTGTGAGGGTCTAAAGTACATTCACCAGCCATATGAGTCATTTCATGTGGGTATAAAAAAATAGTATTATAATTGCAAAGTAGCTGCACGCACTTTTGTTGAACAAATACATTCGGCTTTGGAGACCTCAGAAAAATACCCTACATAGAGTTTGTTTTCCAGGAACCACTGATGGACATGTAAGGGCATTAACATTTCCACAGGTTACTTTCAATCACAGTGCACACTGGTTTCCTCCATTTACTTTCAACGTTTCCTTCCCTTTTCTCGTTTATGCTCAGTTTAACCAGGAACACCATGAGAGATAATGCCTCATCTTAAATCTGGTATATATGAAAGTTAACCGTAATCTCTGAGCCTCTAATCAGGTCTAATCAGAGTGTGATGAATAAATAACGTTGTAATCTGAATTTGAACTTTAACCAACACAACGAGATAGCAAGCCTGCTCTGCTTCCACTTTTCATATATTAAAAACCTTCTTTTGACTGAGTTGGAGGAACATTTTCAGCAGAGCCTGCTGCGCTCGTCTCCCTTTCCTTGGCCTTCGCCTCTCACACCTTCCCCGCCCAGTCTCTGCTCACTTCTGGCGACCCTGAGCTTTTTTATGCTATGACATCAAACCACAATGCATTGCACTGTTTGGAGTTTACCTAATGTCTCCATGGCGATAAAGGCCGGCTCTGCCCCTTATTCAAATTGAACCGGAAACCAACGTCATTTTGGGCCAATCTCCGCGCTCTGGAGTGACATAATGGAATTTTTAGGGCTAGAAAGCGAGCAAGGTCTGGCGCTGCGCATAGCAGTCGTGCCATCGGGAAAAGACCATATCATATAGAGGCACATCAGAGCCCCAACAGGCACAACAGCTTAGCTGAAGTGGTCGACTGAGTGATAAGACGAGAAAGGAGATAAGGAGACCGGAATACACCAAGTAAGAGTCAGCTGATTTCCTCATGTTTGGATGTGACTGTTGAACAAACGTTAATGCCTAACGCTCAACACTCCCTCTTATGAGGGTGTAGAATGGAAACAAGCCTCTACACAGGCACCGTGGTGAATACTTCGAGGGTCTCCGGTATCTATTCCCAGAACACGATGATGAAGAAGGACATTAATCTGAACCTAGACAATCAGAACTCCGAACTCAAATCTAACCCGCTCCGGGACGCAGACGGACTTCTCAACTCCTCAGACTTAGGACTCCTGAAACTAACCTCTCCGGACCTAGAGCGACTTATTATCCAGTCCAACGGTCTAGTCACCACCACCACCAACCCGACCTCCCAGTTCCTTTACCCAAAGTCAGCCAGTGACGAGCAGGAATTCGCGGAAGGTTTCGTAAAGGCGCTGGAGGATCTTCACAAGCAGAACCAGCTGAGCGAGACGGGGTGCGTCTCTGTGGACAGGCTGGAGCTCCTCGGATCATCCAGCGCAGCAGGCTCTGCCAGCCTTCAGGCATCAGACCTCCCTGTGTACACTACGCTGAACGGCTACGCGGCCAGTCCGCTCGGAGGCACCACCATCAACTATTCCACCGACACCATTCCCTTCCCGCCGCCGCCGTCTCATTTGGCTACCGCGCAGCAACAGGCGGTCGCTGCGGCCGCTCTGTCACGACTCCAGTCTGTCGGCGCTTTGAAGGACGAACCTCAGACCGTGCCGGACATGCAGAGCTTCGGGGAGAGTCCTCCTCTGTCCCCCATCGACATGGACAACCAAGAGCGCATCAAGGCGGAGAGAAAGAAGCTGCGCAACAGGATAGCCGCCTCCAAATGTCGCAAGAGAAAGCTGGAGAGGATCTCTCGGCTGGAGGACAAGGTCAAGACCCTGAAAACGCAGAACACCGAGCTGGCATCCACAGCCAGCGTGCTCAGGGAGCAAGTGGCCCAGCTGAAGCAAAAGGTGATGAACCATGTTAGCAGCGGGTGCCAGCTTTTACCAAACCAGGTCCAAGCTTATTAATTCCAATAATGGTGCTCTTTAATTGATGTTTATTACTGCTACAAATGTGGCCCGAGGATACAGGCTTGCATTATAAAGAACATTTGTGCCCCGTGTAACAGAAAATCCCCTTCACGAGACGCTTAATGCGAAGCCAGTGTGGATGCATCCTCCCGGCTATGGTTGGGAAGCATAAACAGAGACGTTTACACGGAAGTGAACAGGCCTAGATAAGAGCTGCAGGTCAACTGGAAAACGAAAGCTGGTGGGGACTACAGCTTGCAGTGTTTTGCAGCAAACAGACTCACTTTGATGTCCTTATTCTGGGAAAGCCATGTAGCAAAGTGCAATCCACTGAACTGGTGTGGCACTTATTTGTGTGTAAGCTGGACAATCTCAACGTGGGCGCAACCAAAACACCGGGGTGTCACCAAGTGCTGTCATCCACTGTGTAATATAATGCCTTACTTGTTTACAAGCACTTAGAAATGACAAATATCTATATTTTATTTACTGAAACATTTCTTATTTTACATATGGTCTTATTTCATTGTTTTGTTTTTTGGAAAAATGAACACTGCATGTCTTGTCGCTTCTGTGTACAGTAACCTTTGTACTTTCCTTTATGATGGCTACTCTTGTACTTCTACTTGCCAAACCTCCATGAATGTATGTGTATGTGCTGAGAAACTCCATGTATCATGTGTAATGAACGAGTCTACGAGACATTATTAAATTCACTACATTACTACAGCTCAAACGTTTTGTTTCTTAATAAGAAGACAGCCTGCTGATAACAGTTTAAAGGACTCACACCACATCTTTTCTGCATATCTCTTTTTGCACAGTTGACACTGTGGGTGTTGTATTAAGTGCTGTAGAGAAGCTGAATCAAACCATAGATGGTCAAACAACTCAAAGGGCAGAAATGAACACATCATTGTAGTATTGTGCCCTCTGCTGGGCACAGTACAACTTACTCTAAACCATTTCTGAGCCATCACATGGGCACTTCTTGTAAATCACCCACACTTTGGGAGAGGTTGTTGAATCCACACAGAACTCCAGCTTTGAGAAGTTGTTTATTGATTCCTTATTTTTAGTAAACCTGGCATTACACAGTTACAGCACAATTCACATTCCTAATGCCTGACGGGCAGAAAGTTCCTATTTACACAGGTTATATGTAACAGGGTGAGGAAAGAGGAGGAGGAGGAGCAGGATGGCTGGATGGGAGGATTTGTTTTCCTAAGTTATTAGCAAGTTTACAGCTGCAGTAAGATACACTAAGCAAAATTAAAATAAAAAAAAAAAAAAAGGACAAATGTGGTAAGAATCACTTTTTAATCAAGTGTTCAGCATATTCACTTTATTCCCAAAACACTTTTGATGTTTGGAGCTGCTGCACAGAGTAGAAAAACTACCAGACAGGTTTGATAGCACAAGTCCAACAAGCAATGTTTTTGGCTTTAAACACATCATCAAGACCCTCTTTATAGAAACTGTACATTCAAACGCCCGAGTACAGTGCTCAAAAACTTTCAGCGAGGCTTCACTGTGCTGACGATGGTCAACAAAACAAAACAAAACAAAACTGTTCTATGCTCAGCCTAGCCTTAAAAGTTACATAACTGATATCAAAAGACAAACAAACTTCCCACCAAAGTCATGTGGACATGAGCAGAGGTTTTACACTGGAATGTTTAACTTTCCTCTCGAGGAATCATCTCAAGCTTTGTACACTGTGCACTGTAAACACACTGTCATCTAAAAGCTGGGACAGTTTAGCGACTGAATACTACTGAACATCTCTTAAAAAGTTGAGTGCAGAATGCACAATCTAGGAAGAATACTACAAATAAATTAAGTTATAAATAATACAAAATAAATAACTCATGTGATGAAGCTATGTCTTCGCATGCCTCAGCATATGTCTGAATGCATGACTTACCGGTTTGTACTAAATACACAAGCAAACAAATCCCTTAACTTGAGCCTCACAGAAAGAAAGGGAGAAATAAGAGTCACAATTTAACATGCTCAAAAACATCATATTCTGTCAAAAATAAATACGTAAAGACATAAATATCATCTACAAAGACATAAGAGGCTTCCTGGATATGGCAGGACTGTGCTGCACCAGTGCTCACACTGAATCACATGCCTTTCTAGTGATTGCACGTTGCACATTGTACGCATTGAATGAAAGTAATACAATGTGCAGGGCGCTGTGGGCTTAACATCTGAAACCTTTAGCCCCACCGGGTACCTCCAAGTATCTTAACTGCATGATAGATGGGATTTCAAATCAGACAACAGCTCATACAGATAACCATCCAGTCAACCAGAATCCATTAAAAACATCAACGACATGCACCTCTTACTACGGCACAGGAATGAATCCAATATCCAAAATCATTCTCACTTTAATATATTATATATGCATTTCACCTTTAAAACATTTATACACTCTTCAGTTAGCGAAATAGATCCTGTATCCTTTTATTTGTCCTATGGGTTAAAAAGCAGCAGCAACAAAAAAGGTTAAAAAAAAAAAAAAAAGAGGCTCTGTTGCTTTTTCTTGTTTTTTTAACGCCGCATTAACATACTCTCTGAGTCTGCTAATAAACATTTGTTTAAAATTTCTGAGACAGGCCTCAAAGTAATTATATATCTACACTCATAGAATAAAGAAATGCACTTCTATTACTACCACTTATTTCCAAAGTTAACATATTTCACAACAAAACTAAAACTGACACACTGTATGCCTATGAAAAGTTTGCACCCAGGTGTTTCCAGTGTTGTAATGGTGAAGTGGTAAAGACTTGGTAGGAGAACAACAGGCTCCTGATTCTCTGTCATGGTGCTGAGTATAAGCCAGCCGAGAGTTATTACAGAACAGTAAGAAGTTGACACATGTGCACACTAGCTTAAGTCATGGGCTTCTTTTTTAAAGTTGTACAACCACGGTTCCTATGGTGGCATGCGCATCTTCTACATTAGTCAGCTATACCTAACCATATGATCAAATTCAGAAATGCCTATACCTGCATCTTTTAAGGTGGAATGCACAGGTTCTCTTAAGCGATGTACGAATTTCAACCAGATTAAGCGTCCTGTTAATCTTTTGGATGCAAAATGTTATCAAAGTAAATTAGTCATACCTTTTCTGTTGACTTTTGTTTTGTTATGAACTACATTGCCCCTTGGGGATAAATAAAGTCTTTCTGATTCTGATCTGATTTAGTATAAAATCTCCCTAAACAACAGGAGCAGTGCATTTTTAGACTCCATGAGCATAGATGTCTTGATTGGTTGAGTGTTATGCACAACTTGCTATTTTTCCACTAATTCCCTAAGTTAAAGAGAGAAACGAGCTCTCAAACAACCCTGTAAGGACACCAAACTAAAACACAACTATGACAAGATGATTTCACATGCTCAAAACCACACCTGACCAATTCAAAAACAAAAAAAACATCAACCAACACAGCAACAAACATATTTTCAGTGGAAATAAATGTCGAAGAATTGCCAAATGATTGGTATCTATTTAGATCTGAGGCATTGGTGCTGAATGGGAGTGGAGGCTGGAGGAGAATACTGCTCCTTCACAACCTTTTAGAGTTCAACCCAATCACAAACACGTTAAAAATAAGGAATGATGTAGTCTTAGCCTGACTGGCCTTTTGCAGTTCTGTTATAGTGCATGTGCAGCTATTGAAGACTTTTTACGATGGTAACCATGTTAAATGTTCTTTATCCCTCTGACCAAATATACATAATCTCATAATTTATGTACTACTGACAACAAAAACTTTAAGAACACCACATCTTTGGGGGGAACTGGCTGATGTGGACAGTAGTTGTGGTGTAGTGAGAGGGGTGGAGAACTGAAGAGCCATCTTGTGTCTGTCTCTATGTATGGCAGTTTCTGTGTGTGGTATGAAAACAAACAAAAAGAAAGCAAAACTCAAAAATAAAACCTAACAAGGTGTGTGGATCTCATGACAGCAGACGTGTGTGTAGCTGTGTTCAACAAGCACAATCCTGATGGGACCTCTGAGGCTGCTCGCTGAGCTGTGGCCCCTGTTTAGCTCCGGTGATGGTGGGGTCGTTGTTATCCAGACTCTCTGCCATCCTCTCACAGATGATGTCCACGAGCCGCTCGAATGTCTGCTTCACGTTAATGTTGTCTTTAGCGCTTGCTTCAAAGAACTCAAAACCTGGCAGAAGGGGTGACAGAGACAGATGCGTTGTGGTTACACTTATTGTTTCAATGTGCAGCTTATCCTCTTAACCCAGTGATCTCATCATGGCAAGACCTATCAAGACTAGTCAGGCAGGCAGCTCAAGTCTGATGACATTTTCCTTTATATCAGAAGACTGAAGAGATTTTAAAACCAATTTTTCTAAAACCTGTCTCCCTTTGATTGGTGGTCTGAGATTGAACCAAATAGTCTAAGAGTACAAAAAACATCCTTCTCAAAGCTGCAGCTACTTAGCTTTGTGCATTTCCATGTTTGTAATTTCTTAAGTTCTGATGATCTGATCTCTGTTAAACTTCAGATATCTTGTGTAAGGCTCATGTTAGCAGTTCACTTTTGCTCAATTGCCTTTAATTTAGAGTTACAGTACTGTGCACGAGTCTTCAGCCACCCCTCATTTCTTTATGTTTTGCAAGGATAGTGGGAAACATGCAAAAATACACAGAAAAAAAGTATATAAAAAGGCAAAAAACAGAGTTCTGCAGGCTTCTTGAAGGACATTCAGAGCTTATCTTTGGATGTTGGCTGCTTTTGTTCTGTTATCTGTCAAGATGATCCCACAATGCTTCAGTATTTTTGAGGTCTGGGCTCTGGGGAGGTCAATCAATGACCAACGGTGTACTTGTTCTTGTGTATTTTGGCACACCATGGCATTTTATAACATGTTTTCCTTCCTTAAGAATGGCTTCTTGACAGCTACCCTTCCATTGAGACCATTTCTGATGAGGCTTTAATAAAAGGCAGCTCGATCAACTGGAAGGTCAGGTGCATCTCTTAAGTCCTGTGTCAGGTCTGTGTTGATTTTCCTATTTTTAACAACATAATCAAGGATATGATTTACCTGCTGCAGACATTTTAGGCCTGCCACATCTTCTTGGGTCCTCCACTTGTCCAGTTTTCTCAAAACATCTTTTGACACACTGAACATCACCTTGTTGGTGGAAAAAAACTATTTTATGTCTGTCAAACTGGCAGTTTTCATAGATTCAGCTAAAGAAATGGTGACAAATGATGTGTTTCTGCAACAGCCTGCTAGTAACAAAGTGCCTGTCCAAAGAAAAACTTAGAAAGCCTTGAGAACTGTTGCCCAAGAGCACTCTAAACATTATAAGCAAGTCTGGCTCCAAGTGAGGAGTGGCTCAAGACTTTTGCACAGCACTGTATTATACTACTATTACAACCTCTCATCCCACTTAAAACATTGTCTGTAATGTTTTATGATGGCTGTGATGAAGGCCACAAGCCCAAACACACATCAAACAATAACATTTCTCTGTAAGAGCTGCTGCAGCTTCAACGTTCTCCAAACATCAGTTTCACACACAAATGAAATGATGCAGTGCAGCAAAGCTGAAGAGGACATTAAACAGATATTAAGCATTATGTTTGCTCCCATAACAACAGCCTCACAAACAAACAGTCTAATCAAAACTTGGCCATCGGAATAAACTTAAATATTCTTGGAAACGGGAGATACACACC